AGACAAAGCAAAACAAAAAATTAAGTTCTATAAAATTATGATTTTTTTTAAGTTTATGACTTAATGTATTGCACTAAAACAAAATAAATGCTCAAAACTTTACATATATTGAAACATCCCAGGATACCCAATTAATATGTACAATTGTTAGGTTTTTGTCTGTTATTTAAAAAGAAATTTAAAGCCAGGCATGGTGGTGCACACCTGTAACCCTAGCACTCTTGAGGCTGAGGCAGGAGGATCATTACAAGTTCACGGCCAGCCTGGGCTACATAGTGAGTTCAAGATCAGCCTGAACTACATAGTGAGACCCTGTCCCAAAGAAAAAAAATTTTTTTAAGGACTCAAAATGCATTTCCTCGTTGGCACATTTTCCTACGCTGTGCATTGGAGGTGGTTGCTTTCCTCACACATGCGCAGTAGAAGTACCGTATGATGGTGCGATGCTCTTCCCAGTGCTGTGTTCACTGGTGTAGTGATAGCACCTTAAAGTTGGCCATGGTGGGAGTATTTTTAGCACGCAAATTGGCAGATCAGCGTTCTCCCCTTACTGTGGAGAACCAGGTTTTAAACACTTGCCAGCGTGTTGGTGGTTTCTGGGGTGTCCATCCTGCCTTGGTGGTGCTGCTGAGGCAAGGAAGTCTCATGCAGCACCATCTTCTGATGCCGCGCTTCTGGCAGCAGGCTCTTGGTTCGTGGGCCTCTTAGCTGTGACCTGGATTCCCCTTTCCCAGGCCCTTCCATACTTTGACCGGCTAGACTACGTGTCCATGATGTGTAACGAGCAGGCATATTCACTAGCAGTGGAGAAGCTGCTAAACATCCAGCCTCCTCCTCGGGCACAGTGGATCCGAGGTAGGTACCCACCACAAGCACAACTCTGTGCCTTCCCCACCCGCTCCCCACCATAGGAGCATTTTGGAACCCAAGGTTAGTATTCAGCCCCCAAGCTCTGCCCAGACTGCTCTCCAGGCTGGAACTGTGGCTTCAGGATGCATCTCTTCTTGTCTCCCTTTCACCAAAGTGCTGTTTGGAGAAATCACACGACTTTTGAATCACATCATGGCTGTGACCACACATGCCCTGGACATTGGGGCCATGACCCCTTTCTTCTGGATGTTTGAGGAACGGGAAAAGGTAGGAGAAGGAAGTGCGGGCAGGATTAGGGAAGCACAGGAAGTAGGGCAGGTGTAAAGGGGACAAGATTAAAAGAAGAGGGAGACCATTTAGGGGCAGAAAGGTAAATTCAGTCAGGGACTCTGTATCATGAGAGATCGGTTGGGACAAGAAGGCAGAAGGCAGAGTAGTTGGCTGTCATGTTGTCGGACTTAGGGGCCCAGGACTGTGTGACTAATTCCCTGTGTGTCCTGTCAAGATGTTTGAGTTCTACGAACGAGTGTCTGGAGCCCGAATGCATGCTGCTTACATCCGACCTGGAGGAGTGCACCAGGTAAGGGGCCTCCTCTGCCTGGGCTCTCCAGCCCTGGCCCCTTCCCTCCATGGCCACTGGAAGGCAGCGCCGGCGGATGGGAACTAGCGCTGCGCCCGAGAAAAGGGATGTGAACTGGCACTCCTTAGAGGAGGCTCAGCTGTGTTCAGTGTCTCCCCCGCTTCGTTCTTCTAGGACTTACCCCTTGGTCTTATGGATGACATCTATGAGTTTTCCAAGAACTTCTCTCTTCGAATTGATGAAGTGGAGGAGGTAAGGTAGAAGTTAGTGGAGAAAATCTCTTTCCTCCCCACAAAAGGACTTGTGAGGTCTTAGTTCCTGATTGCAAAGTAATTCAGAGGTACTTGAGGATTGTTATGAAGAGGATCACTAGTTTTCTTGATTGGTAGATGCTGACTAACAACAGGATCTGGCGAAATCGGACAGTCGACATCGGGGTTGTAAAAGCAGAAGATGCACTTAACTATGGTTTCAGGTGAGCGAATACTCTCCTTGGGGCTGGGTGTGAGTCTAGGCCAGTGTCTTGGCTTTCAAGGATGTTTGACACCCTGCTTGTCATGCTCTGACTTCGTATCCCATACCCGGAGTCGGGGGGAAGGGAAGGGGAGATAAAGGAAAAAGGTGCCTCCTTGCTTGGTCTGTGGGATGCAGCCCTTGATGCCCTTTGTACCCCACAGTGGAGTGATGCTCCGGGGCTCAGGTATCCAGTGGGATCTGCGGAAGACCCAGCCGTATGATGTTTATGACCAGGTTGAGTTTGATGTCCCTATTGGTTCTCGAGGAGACTGCTATGATAGGTAAGGCCCACATCCTTTCTCAGCTCATTGTCTAGCTCCTTGCCCCTGCCTAAATTTCCTCCTTGCTACTTTCCTCTCTACCCTCCTTCCAAGTATCTATGGGAACTTGTGTGTGTGTTAAACTAGATTGTGCGGCCTGGGGATGTAACTCGGTGGTAGAGCACATGTCTGGTATTGGTAAGGCCCTTAGTTCTATTGCCAGCACCTAAAGAAAAGAGAAGAAAAGACCAGGTTGCATATCTGTGGCAGTTTATTTTACCCTCTGTTTTACACAGAACTAGTTTGGGCTGCATTTTGTCACTGATATAACTGAGGCATAAAAGTTACAGATTAGCCTGAGATTATGCTGCTAGTAGTTAAGACTATACTCTTCCTAATTGGGTGCTCTTTCCACTGAATTCTAAGTTTAAAATTCCATTCCTCATTACTTAACCAAAGCTTTGCTATGATGGTTTTTTGTGTCTTTTTCCAACTGACCCTGAATTCTGCAGTTCAAAAAGTATTTAAGAGGGTAAGGAGGGAAATACTATAGGCTGTGGTCTGAGAACGTAAGGAGAGGATTTGGGGAAAGACTTGATACAGGATCAGAACAGCCTTAGGGTTCACATGAGCGGCCAAGCCATGCAGAGATACTGCACTAGCAGAAGAGTGAAGAGAGTTTACCTAACCTTTGAGGTCCGCTGGTGGATGTCTTCCCAGCCCCATAGCTGCTGCTCTGCCTGCTCTTCTTTTACTCTCAGTCTGTCTCATCCACTCCAGATACCTGTGTCGGGTAGAGGAGATGCGCCAGTCCCTTCGAATCATCGAGCAGTGTCTGAACAAGATGCCTCCTGGAGAGATCAAGGTTGATGATGCCAAAGTGTCCCCACCCAAGCGTGCAGAGATGAAGGTTGGCTTCAGGGAGAGGGACAGTTGGGTATTGGGAGGGACCAGTGGTCAGCGAGGAGAATCCTTGGATTAAATTTTACTTTTCAGTTTTACTTCTTCAAAAAATTCACTGTAAGATTCTGAACCTCTCCTAGCGCTCCTTTTCATTGCTCGTCTTCTCTGCTTACTGACTTCTGTGTGGGTTTTAATCGGTGGAGGGTGGAGATTTATCGCCTAGCAGGCAGACTGGGTCTGGCTCAGTGATGCTCCCTTTGTCTGCCTTCAGACTTCCATGGAGTCGCTGATCCATCACTTCAAGTTGTATACTGAGGGCTACCAAGTTCCTCCAGGAGCCACGTACACGGCTATCGAGGCTCCTAAGGTGAGGAGAAGAGGGGAAGGAAAAGCTGTATGTGGAGAGGGTGGCAGAGGTCTCCATTCAACAAAATGCTTGCCTGTCAGGGAGGGAGAGGAGAGGGGATTAGGATGAACAGAGGGGTCTGTTGGCAAAGCCAAGTGTCTTTCCTACTGACAAGGCTCCTACCTTCCTCTTTGGACAGGGAGAGTTCGGGGTGTACCTCGTGTCTGATGGTAGCAGCCGCCCTTACCGTTGCAAGATCAAGGCTCCTGGTTTTGCCCACCTGGTAAGAAGCAATCCCAGTGATTCTAACTCCAGTAAATCCAGTAGTATATTGTCCTCAGTTAAGTTTTTTGTGAGTTCTTCTCCCTGCTGCAAATCTGGGCTAACTCTTGCTATCTCCACCTCCCCAGGCTGGCTTGGACATGATGTCCCAGGGACACATGTTGGCGGATGTCGTTGCTATCATAGGTATGAGGCTTCTTATGTAGTAGAGATGTCCTAGACGGGGAGTGTGGGACTCCAGTGGGGACAGAAACTGAATAGCCCCTGTTCAGCACAGACTGTAGCATGGACTGAAGGCCTCCGTCTCCTGGACACAGCAGTGAGTTCTGGATCCTTGGTAACACCACCTCTCTGTGCTCTGACCTTCTAGGTACCCAGGATATTGTGTTTGGAGAAGTAGACCGGTAAGCAGAGAACAGCATTGGATCTCCCTGTCTAGCAGCTGCCTCTACAGAGCCTGACCCTCATTGGACATGAGGCCGTGTGTGTGTTGTGTGTGTGTACATGTACGCTTAGCTGTGTGGACCTTCTGTGCATGTACTAGAAAAGGAGAAATAATAAATTAGCCACCTTGTGGCCCCTGCACACAAACACCTGGTATGTTTTTCTTCTTTTTTGTTTTGTTCTTTGTTTTTTGAAACAGGGTCTCACTTATGTACTTCAGACTGACCTTGAACCCACTATGTAGCTCAGGCTGGCCTTGATCTTGTGATCTTCCTGCCTCAGCCTTCTGAGTGGTAGGATTACAGGTACACCCCGCCACACCTGGCTTGGTATGTCTTTGTTAGTGTCTTCTTGGGTTTTACTTTGCATTTCTGTTAGACTTAGCTCTTAGCAAGCTTGCTTTCTTGTCTCCACCCCCTTTTCTGTCTCATCCTTTCCATTTCTGCATTCCCCTTTTCCCCTCAGTTTCTCCTGCCCAGAACTTCTCAGTGTCCACACAAATTGGTAAACTCTTCAAATCAAGCTGGGTATTAAGTCCCTGGTGGGGAGGAAAGGGCTGTCCCGGGGTCCAAGGGAATCTTGAGGAGCGCTTTCTTGCCGGTGGAGCTCAGCTGGGCGGAGTGCAGGATAGCGAAAACAGCCTTTTGCAAGCATGAGTCTCCTCATTGGTTGCAAGGGTTGAGAGGTTGGTTATTGAAGGGCAGAGGCTGAGCCCAGATCTCCCAGCTTCTCTAGTTGGCCCTTCCGGGCACCGCCCGGCCTCTGGTGCAGGAAGGGGAAGGGGCCAAAGTGTGGGGGAAGGCGGGGCAGGAAGGGGGGAACTCTGTGGTCAGGGACCTGCTAGCGGAGCACAGCTGCGCAGTGCTGTCAGAGCGTCTGATTCCCAGCTCACGGCCCCTCAGCCCCCTGCCCATGATGCTGCCAGCAGTGGTCTTGCTCTTACTTCTTTTGGTTGAACAAGCAGGTGAGAAGGTTCATTGAGGCCAGTGTTGGCTCCAGGGTGGGCATCAAGGACGTGTGTCTGAGGGCTGGATCGAAGACGGAAGGAGGAAGGCGGATGGTGGACACAGGGCTCAGACAGACACGGGAACCCTGAAGCTCGTCTTCTCCCACCCCCCTCTGGGGGTGCTAGTCCTGGATAGTCCTGGATCTCTCCTTTTTATTCGCTTTCCTACCTCATCCCAGGCTTTTCTCAGGATTGACGTGAAGGGCCAGTTTGGCAGGGGAAAGGATATTTGTATGGCATGAAGATCCAGGCTGGGAAGAAAACTTGGTTTTCCCTACTCCACGCTCCCCCTGGGGTGCCTTCGGTCCTGTGTGCTGGGAGCCGCTCTCTAGCAATTACATGTACACAGCCCCCTTCAGGCTGTCGGGGGCTCTCCTTGGCTTTGTGGGGAGACGGGGTGGTGGAGGTAAACCCAGTTGTAGGTGCTTCGAGGGGTTGTCACTAGGGCACACTGCTGTTGACAGCTGAGAGGTGGGTGGGCGCCGTGAAATGCCCAGGCCTGGAGTCCTGAACAGCTGAGAAACGGAGATGAGGGAAGGTCCCAGCAGCCCAAAGGCTCACATCTAATTAAGAGCTCTTGCTTGCCTTGGGTTCTCCTACCCGGGAGGGTGTTCGTGTGTGTATTTTAGAGCGGGTCGGTGGCAGCTGAGTTTTGGGGAGGGAGGGGGTTGGTAAAATAGTGAAACTGGGGAAATTGAAAGCGAATGCCTGGGGAGGCGTTCCACCATCTGGCCTGAGAGGGTGGAGGAAAGGATTAAAAGAGCCACTAGGCAGCTGCCCGGGGATGACGGAGCCTGGGACGTCAGGACTTTAAGGAAAGTACAGGCTTTGGAGACGGACAACCTGGATTTGAGTCCTGGCTCTGTCGCTCAGCTCTAGCCTGAGTGAGTTAGTTTTTCCGAGTGCCTGGGTTTCGTTATCCATAAAATGGTGAAGATGATGTTTCTCTCACAGGGTAGTTTTGAGATTTATGCAATAGCTCGTGTGAGAGTGTTGTAGAAAAGTACTTCACAAGTGTCAGTACTTGACCCATGTTAGTCACATGTACTCTGTCGGCCCTGATCAGAGCTGAGAGCAGTCTCTGGAGCCCAGGGCCTATGTGATTTTTTAAAATTACGCAAAACTTCCCCTCTCAGAGGCCCAGGGTGAGTAAAAGCACAGAGTAGACGGAGGAGGAATCTACGTTTTGGATTTTGTTTGTGCGTATTCCCTTGAGCCTGTCATTCTCCCAGCCTGGTATGCAAGGCCAGGGGTATCCGCATGGCCAAGGAAAGCGGACACTTTGCTTTTTGCGTACTGAAATGTCTTGCAGGTCAGAAAGCATGAGGCTCTGGCTAGATGACCAGTAATAGCGTAGTTGCCTTCCCTCCCTTCCTCAGCTCACATCCTTCCTGTCCGGCCCTCAGCCACAGGTCACAGGACTGAGCAGAGACACTCCTGTGGTTTCTTCACTGAAATTGCCACTGCCTCCTTCCCCTTCCCCCCTGGGCTGAGGTTTTGGTCTCAGCCCAGTGAACTTAGATGAGCCCTTGAGGTGCTCAATGCTGCCTGAAGAGCCACGGTGCTCTAAAGAGGGTTGGGCTGAGGGGGAAGTCTTTAACTCATTGCTTGTAAGTCCTGTGATAGAATCCTTCACGCTGCCTCTTCCACATCTACCCTAGTGAAAGAAAGGAAAAAGAAAGAGAACTAGGAGTCCAGAGAGGAAAATAGTTTCTTCCCACAGAGAGCTCCTCTCTAGGCCCTGACCCCCTTCCCAGAGCCCTGTCGTTTCCTGCGAGCGCCAGATCCCCACTGATGCCCCTGACCACACAGGCACCCTCTTTCCCCCCAGCGGCCCTGGGAGAGCCTCAGCTCTGCTATATCCTGGACGCCATCTTGTTTTTGTATGGTATAATCCTGACTCTGCTCTATTGTCGACTCAAGGTAAGGCAGGGTGAGGTGGGGATTTGAAGGAGAAGTGGGAGGATGGTGTCAGCACCATTTGGAGGAAGGGGACTCAAAGGGATTCTCCCCTAAAGTTTGGGGGCAATGGGGATGAGCCTCTAACTTCCCCTTTACTGATTAACTTTTCTCCACTCCAGATCCAAGTGCGAAAGGCAACTGTAGCCAGCTATGAGGTACGGCCCCTCCCACAATGTTCCAGGCCCTCAGGTCTCCTGGGGCTCTCGCCTTTGGTGGGAGCCCTCTTGGAGGGCTTGTGTCTCTGGTGCTGTGCTGTATAAGCTGTATATATCTCAGAGTCTCCTCTTTCACCTCAGTCTATGCACCCTGCCACCCAGCTGAGCCATAAGTAAAATATCCAGCAGGTGATGGGGCAGAATCAAGTAGAGGGGGACAATGAATACATGAGAGATGTGTGCTGTGTGTTGATGTGTGTTTGTAGCCGCATGGGCAAAAGTGTGTTCAAGCCTGGGAGCATCCCTGTGAGCTCCCTCCAGCCTAAGGCAGCTGGCCCGAGCCCTAGGCCGGCAAAGCAGAGCTGAGGGGTCCTCAAGGACACGTGGACCTCTAATGCCTTTCCTCTTTTGTCTTTGCAGAAATCAGATGCCATTTACACGGTGAGTGAACCTCTTCCCCTGGCCCAGCCAGCACAGGAGGATGGGATTTAGAGTGCCTTTTGGAAAGGGTGGGGTCTGTGGGGTGGGGGCTCTGCAGTGGGCCCAAGCTTCTCCTCATCCTTTGATTTCCACCTCCAGGGCCTGAGCACCCGGAACCAGGAGACTTATGAAACACTGAAGCATGAGAAACCTCCCCAGTAACTTTAGACCAGATGTCCTTGTCACAGCCTTCTTCAGCTTCCAGTTCTCCCAGCCCTCAAGGTTGGCATCACTGATGCCTCCCCTCGGTCAATGCCAGCTGGCCCTACCCCAGTAATGACGCTAAACCCCAGATTAATGTCCACCAGCCCTCCTCCCTGTTACAGACTTGTGCTAAGATGCTGGTCTGTGACGTTTCTTTTCTAGTCTCACTCCCTTCCCCTGCCCTTCTTCCCTTTCCCATTCCCAGCTCCTACTAAACAATGGCAAGGGAGTAGTGCCAATAAAGCTGCCACAGGCTGGATTCTATTGATTCACTCGTTTATCGTCTATTCAGCCTCCCTGAGCGCGAGACTGAGTAGTGGAGATAGTTTTAAGAAAGTTAAGCTCAACTCCTGACCTCACAGAACTCACAGTCCAATGGACTTCAAGGCTGCTTTGCTGGATAGATGAAGAAATGCTGACTGGCTGGGGGAGAGATGGGACCCTTGACCCCAGGTGCTCTGGGATGACCCTAGAGCAGGTAGTATACTGCTACTCTGTTGGGAGTACAGAGGCACCTTTGGAGATATTAGGACAGGAGATAAAACTTCTGTACCCAGCACGGACTTCAGTGTCTACAAGGTTATGTTGTGGGGGATCCTGTCTGTCTAATCCCCAATAGTCACCAACCCAGATAGGACCAGTCCAGCACATGCATCTGAGAAACAGCATAGCTGATTCAAATATACGGAAGAGATAGGAAGTCTAGGGCTAAGTGAAACTACTAGTGGACAGTTTTATGGAAATCCATGACTTTTCAGGGGATCCTGGGGCAAGAGGTACCTTAGAGAGAGGCTCAGATAAGGGTTGGAGGTGGGTAATGCAAAGGGGAACAAGTTGGGTGCATGTGGAAAGTCATTTTATCCAGCGTGTGGGTGGATGGCCAAGGAGGCCCCCAGAGCTGCCCAAAGCTCTTCCAGTTCTACCTCTGCTCCAGAAACCCTTCCAGAATGGGTCTAGAGTCTCCACTCCTGGCAAGCCCCTGTGCTGGGCAGTACTTTGCACTGCACAGTGACTTACACTTTCCAAACTAGTTTTCAGTTAGTTGTACAAATTGATCTGCTCACCAGCCCCCAGGAGAAATTGAGGCTCTTAAATTAGTTAACCCATCCAAGGTCACCTTGATGCAAGTGAATGACTAAGATCTTTGTCCCTACACATTTTCCACATGAGAAAGTGTGGACATTTTGAAGGAAAAGGGGAATAATCATGAATAGTGAGAGTCTTGAAGACCAGACTAAGGAGGATGATCACTTACTAAAAGAAATTGGAGCCACCTCTACTTTCTGGGATTTCAGATGAGATAGAAGAAATGAACCCAGGTAGGGAAGTAATTCTTTTAAAGTAGGGAGCTGGGAGTGTAACTCAGTGAGTGGCAGAGCCCTTGCTAATATGCAAGGCCCCCCAGCACTCTGGAGGCTGAGGCAGGAGGATCGTTGTGAGTTCGAGGCCAGCCTAGGCTACAAAGTGAGCTCAAGACCAGCCTGAACTGCATAGCAAGACCCTGTCTCAAAAAGACAAAAAAAAAAAAAAAAAAAAAAAAAGCAAGGCTCTGTATTCAATCGCCAGCATTGCAATAAATAAAGTGGGAACATATTTTTACTAAAAATGCCTCATTTTCCTTTGTCCTATATTTTTGGTTTCTATTTCTCCTCCCATTGACTGATCCTGATCTCCATTCCATTTGATGTAATTCAGGCATTACAGCTCCCAAATTTTCTCTAGTCCCATGTGTCCACCGAGTTAGAACCTGTTAGGCCTTTAAGTGGCTTTCATGGCTATCATTTTCAGGTTCAAGATGGCTGCGTGGCCTGTTCCAAGAACAGCTCCTGGATAACGGTAGGCAAAGGGCTGAGAATGGGCCTTTCCCACACAGGGTCCAAGTCAGAATGCAGGGAATACAGCACTTTTTGGAACTGGCATAAGCCCACCTTTCTCCTTTACTATGGGATGAGAGAAACAGTTTTCTCAGCTCAGAGGGTGTCTTGGAACACTGGGCTAATTTGGGGGAAGCTTTTTTCTCCTTCTAGAATAATTAGGAAGAAATTCTGAAGGATGTCTGTAAGGAAAATTCCAAAGGACATCTTCCCATGAGGTTTTGACCCTTCTCCACATTGTTTCAGCCTTGTAAAAATATCAGTACCCCTAATTAAGTCCTGTTCATAGAAGAGACCATTCCAGAATAAAAGGCCCTCAGCTCCTCAAGAATAATGAACTTAAAAAAAAAAAAGAGTAATGAACCTTATACAAACACAAAATGGGCCAGTGACCATGGATTAAGACAGATGACCTACCAAATAGTTAGTTCCCAGCTTCCTTGTTTTCTACTAGCCCGACTCCCCCATATATAAACCCCTTACTCTGTAAAAGAGCTGCCTTGGCACTTTGGAGCCAGCAGCCCGTCTCAGGTTTTTATCTCAAATAAAATATGTCCTTGCTGCAAGTCTTTCTCTCTCTTCTCTTTATTTCTTCCAATGCCCTCATTTTCTGTAGTATCCAGAAGTTGAAAGAATCAGTTTATGGACTGTTCAATCTTTTCCTAGATCCATGTCTTATTGAAAGACTCTTCCCAGGCCTGCAGGAGACTCCTTCAGTTTGAGGAAGAATCATAGGTACCCCTGCTCTGACATTTCTATCATTTGTCTCTTCAACACTTTCTTTACCCTCCATACCAAAGGTTGTTTTTTTTTTTTGGAGATGGGGCAGGTTTTCACTATGTAGTTCAGGCCAAGCTTGAACATGCAGCAATCTGCCTGTCTCAGCTCCCTGAGAAGTGAGATTACAGATATGCACCACCATGCCTGGCATCCTTCTCTCTCTCTTTTTTTTTTTTTTTTTGGTTTTTCTCCGGTACCGGGAACTGAACTCACGACCTTGCACTTGCCAGGCAGGCGCTTTTTGCCACTGAGCTAAATCCCCAGCCCCATCCTTCTCTTTTTTGAAGCAGATTTATCTTTTTCTTTCCTCCTGTTCCTCCCCCTCTCTGCTATTCTCCCTGTTACCCAAATACACGAGGCTCAGAGTGTGACTCCTGCATTTATTGTAGAAAATAGAAGGTATATAGAGAGAAGGGCTCTAGACCTGGCCTGTGGGTGTTTTAGGGACCAGTAGGGGTTGCAGGACAATGATTCAGATACCTCACTGGGTAGCAGGCTGTGTTTTTTTGGGGTCCATGAAATTGCTCAACATGTTAAACAGATCAGTTCCAGCCTTCTTGACCAGAGGTGCCAGCTGGTCCTGCGTGCTTTCTAAGTAAGTCCTGGATAGAGAGAGATTAGAGTCAGTGTGAAGTACCTTATTCACTGGCAAAGGTCAGAACAGATTGACCTATGTTCCCCAACTGTAGACCTGGTCCATCCAGCCATGGCAAAACTTCTAAGAGGAGAAGCAAGCCCTGTACTGGCCAGAGGAACAAACTCGAGATGTTGATATTCAGGACCCACTTCCCTGCTGTCTCCATCTGTCTAACAGGTGCATGGGATCTTTGGGTGACAGAGGAATGTATCTCTCCAATTTAAGTTGGATCCACTCTTACCCCGACCCTGAGCTCACTCTCCTGTGAGACCTCTCATCCTCCCTTCCCTCCCCACAGTCCCACAGCCCCTGAACCCCTCTCCTTGAGACTTACTGGGCTTGAGTCTGAAGCTCCAGGGCCTTAGCCTTCTCAAGCAGGTCCTTCCCATAGCTGGTTAAGGTCTGGAAGTACTGAGAGAACAGGCTATGCAGATTTGACTCCTCTGCCTGCCTCCGAACCAAAGCCCCTGCACACAAACACATGATCTTCTCAGCTGGGTCTCTATAATGATTCCTGGCCTCCTGCTACAGCTCTCCCAGTACCCACCCCAGCTCTCTGCCCTCTCCCCAAAAAGTATCCTACCGTGTCTTCGAATGGGCTTTCCAGATTTTAGAGAGGGAAAGATCTTTATTTTTTTGAGCCCTCTGGTAGCCAGATTTGAACAGAGGGGCACACACAGATGAGAGGCCAGCACCTCTGGCACTTCCTCTCTTGTCCATATGACACTCACCTTCGAGGCTGCAGATGGTGAGCAGCAGCACGGTCATTGCAAACAGCTTCATGGTGAAAAGGTGGCAGAGGAGCAGGGCTGGTGTGCTGTTGGTGGGAAGGGACAGAGTAACCAAATGGGCTTCAGTCGCTGCCCAGGGAGCACCTCCCCTAGAGGCCCACTCCAATCTGGCTCCCTCCCTCTGCATGCTGCCCACACTTCTTGATCGCTCACCATACCTCGTCAGCGTCTCTGTCCTTGGCGCCTGTTCCTGACCCGGCTGGAGAGGCACAGCTATATACGGGTCCACTTCCCCACCCACTGTCATGTGATAGAGACTGTGAGGGGGGACCTTGGAGAATCAAGCTGGAGAAATGGGGGAGGTGAGGACAAGCAAGGGGGACTCATTGTGATGGGGTGAGGGGCGGGGGTGAGGCCTTGGTGGAGGCCAAGAGGGTGCACTTCAGATCTGTGTAAAATTTATCCTTTTGGGACCTGTGATTATCAGTCCTTGGGTTTTTATGGAGTGGGAAAGCAGGATTCCTAGTTCTGACATCCAGCCTTCGGTATCTCTATCCCGTTATGGTAGATTTCATCTCCTGAAACCCATCTCTCATCACTCCTATTTAGCACGGAGGCAGTGGGGAACAGAAGAAAGGTGAGCGCTGAGAAATCGGGGAGTAGTGAAGGGACTGGGGGGAGGGCAATGAGGTCAGGGTCTGAGGGCAGGTGCTATCAAGCCTGTCCTGTTTGAGTTAATATGTAATGAGATGGAGGAGAAAAACATGAGTACCAGAATGACCCTCCTGGGCACTGATCAATGAGCCTACCCTACCCCCAGTAAAACAAATTTAGGAAATAGCCTCTGCCCTCCTGCTCCCAACCAGAGAGCTTTCACAGGAAAAGAGGTAAAAGGCTTTTGCCTGGATAAAGGTTGAAGGTGCCTGGTCACTTATTCACCTTGTCTGCTCTAGGTGGTGATCAGCCAATATTGAATCAAAGGTCCAAACAGCATTCCTGTTGGCAAGGTCCTGGCCCTTGTCCCAGCCCTAATGGTGAGAGAGGGCAGAGGTGCATCCTTCAGGCCCAGAGGATTCAGGTGGGATCAGCTAAACACATATCGGGAGCATTTGTATCTTTCACTCTTTTGTCCCCAAAGCTTACTTCCTATGTAGCTGGGACATTCCTGAGAGTTGGGGGTGGAGATGTGGGAGGTAGTGAGGGGGTAGTGACCAAAGACCTAAGAAATCTTCTATTTTGTCTTCGGAGTACATAGTGCTTGAGGGTCACTCTATTGCTTGCCCCTGGCCCTGGGATGGAGCATATTCACAGGCTACAGTCGTATTCCTAGATTTGCTTTGCTCGTCATGACTTCTGACTGGGAGAGGGAGGCTGACTCTAGAGGGCAGCGGTTATAGGAAACCATTCTGCCAGGACCTGCTTCTCTCCCCCTAATTCTTATGCCCATTCTGATTCACCAAGAGGGCAAATAGGAGAGCTGTAGACCCCAGTCTACAGCAACGATAGTAACTGATGTGAAATATGCTCATGTACCAATATCTGTTCTTACTGTGGATATATGATGGGTTCATAGATGAAGCCTAGGAAGTCAACTGGTACTACAGCCCAAACTATTCCTATGTGTCCGAAGGGCTCTTTTTTCCCAGGTCTGTGTCCTTGTGAGTGGTAGACATTCAGAGGTGTACTGTGAAGGGCTGGGAGGATTACCCAGAGCCTCTCTGGGAAGTGTGTGTGTGTGTGTGTGTGTGGGCGGGGGTGTGTGTGTGTGACACGAACTAAGGTTCAAAAGAAGTCTTCATCCTGGTGTAGGGGCACATGCCTGTAATCCCAGCACCCTGGAAGACTGAGGGTGGAGGATCTCAAAATTGGAGCCCAGCTTGGGCAATGTAAGGGATTAGCAAGACCCTGTTTCAAAATCTGAAGTAGAAAAAAAGGCTGGGGAAATAGCTCAGCGCGAAGGCCCTGGGTTCAATCCCCAGGACAGAAAGAAGTCTTCATAGTTGTTTCCTCTGTCACCCTTCACAAAACTCAAGGGTCATGGTTGTAATTCTTTTTTTTCTCAAGGGAGATGGAAAGAGCTTCACTGGCCTAAGCGACCGGATGCTCCCTCTAGTGTCTTGTACATTCATAGGTTTATCCCGACTTTGGAGAGGCCCGGCGATCTTAAGCCCTTCTACGACGACGCCACCAATTAAATTCCACCCGCCTCTGCAGTGCTGGGGTTGAAGCTCTCCGGCCCTCAGGCCTGTCATTCTTTTATTTCTTCCTCTTCCATTGGCTACTGGGAGATCGCGGCGTCTTTTCTCATGGATTGGGCGGAGCCCACAGGAGAGGGTTGGTCTTTGATTGATTTCTTTGCCCGGTTCCAAGATGGCGCTCATGACCACGCTAGGAATGCAGCGTGAAGCTTCAATTCTGCCATCACTCAATATGGCTGCCCCCATCAAGATGACCGGGGTGTGCTGGGGGGAAAGGGGCAGCAAGATGGTCTGAGATGGTAAGAACTACTGCTCCACTGAGGGCCTGTTTTGGGGACGTGGGAATGAAAAGTAGGGAGACTAGCAAGATAGACGAGGTCTGTGGTGAGGGAGATGATTAAAGAATGGGAGAAGGGACAGGGGTGACAGGTGGGGGTGAGGAATCAAAGATGGGGTGGGAGTGTGCCTGAAGTTCAGGCTCCTCATCGATGCTCTCTCCCCCGACTCTTCCTGTTCCAGGTCTAGCACTGAACCATGTGGAAGTTTCTGGGACTGGGGAGCTGGATGATGGGGGGTGGGGCTCGTGGGGGGTAAAGGGAGCAACAGCGTCTTTTCCCAGGCTAATCCCGGCCCCTCCTTGTTCTCTGGACTAAAATGGGGAACACACTGGGCCTGGCACCGATGGGGACTTTGCCCCGCCGGAGCCCCCGCCGAGAAGAACCTCTGCCCAATCCTGGGAGCTTCGATGAGCTGCACCGGCTCTGCAAAGGTGAGAACTTGGTATCAGGCCGTCTCAAGTTGAAGGGGCAGAGGAGGGGTGGGTCTTGAATATTGGGTATCCTTCCGGTGACGGGAGCAGGCAAGGGAACACATCTGGGGCATCCAGCCTCAGGGAGGTTCAGGTGCCCCAATGAAGTGGAGCATTTTGTTGCAGGATTTGAAAGGAGGTCAGTTCCTCCAGTGCTTCCTTTGGGATTGGAAAGGGAGACTGCCTCTTTGGGTAGGGGTTCCTTGTCTGTGCTTATTCCTTCCCTTCCCCTCACCCCCTTCAGATGTATTCCCAGCACAGATGGAGGGAGTGAAGCTCGTTGTCAACAAGGTTCTGAGCAGCCATTTCCAGGTGCTCCCACTCCTCTGGTCTCTTCTTACAATTCCTCTCTGCCCGTCCCTAGATCCTCTTTTCCTTACCTTTGTAGTCCTGCCTTAATCAGGCTGTGTGGGACAAGTGAGGGAGGATGTGGGGCTCTCTGTACCTCCCTTGCCTGTGGGACTTGCTTTAAATCTGGTGACCCTCTGCATATGCTGAAATATTTGGGATTCTTAAGAGTCCCCCTGAATGGGGAGAAGATGAAGGGTGGAATGAGGGATTGAAATGAAGGAGGAATGCTCTCCCTTCCATTGCCTCTTTTTTCCTCAGGTGTCTCACACTGTGCATATGAGTGCCCTGGGCCTGCCGGGCTATCACCTCCATGCCGCCTATGCAGGGGACTGGCAGCTTAGCCCGACTGAGGTGAGGGCACCACACTCCCAGGTCAACTCCCTAAAAGCTCATTCGGGGCTTAGGGCCGGAGGAGAAGGAAATACATATGTTATGGGGAAGAGCGGGCGATAACTGGACTCTGAGTTTCATCTGAATAGAGAGGGTAGAGAAACATTCCCATGTGTGAGATGCCAGAGTTTGTCCTTGTGCCGCCGCCAGGGGGCGCTGGGTAGTGTTAATGAAATCCCACAGTAGAATTTGGGTGTAGGCTGAGTGATGCTCCTCAACTCAGCCTTACTGTCTACACTCCTCAACAGGTGTTCCCCACTGTGGTAGGGGATATGGACAGCAGTGGCAGCCTCAACGCCCAGGTCCTGCTTCTGTTGGCAGAGCGGCTCCGAGCTAAGGCTGTTTTCCAGGTGACCCCCAGTTCCTGCCTCCGTTTACTGAGACACTTCTCTTTCTCCTCCATGGGTATCCTGTCCTGCGGGCCCAGGGGAGAAGCGGAGGCAGTAGTAACCATAAAAAGAAGGAGGGAGGTTTGACTTCTTGTCTCCCCGCTCAGACGCAGCAGGCCAAGTTCCTGACATGGCAGTTTGATGGCGAGTACCGGGGAGATGATTACACAGCCACTCTGACCCTAGGAAATCCTGACCTGATTGGGGAATCAGGTGAGAAATTGGGACAGCGTTCTTTTGGTCTTGGTTGCCCGTTTCCTAATGTTGGTTCTGCCTCTTTGTCTTCTGTATAGTTTAGGGCAGTGATGGTGATCCTCTTAGAGACCAAGTGCCCAAACTGCAACCCCAAACCCACTTCTTTATTGCAAAGTGCCAACACTGCAATAAACCAGAATATTGAGGTTTTAGTTTAGGAAAAAACAACTCATACACTTAGCTTGTGTGCTGACAGACAGGGCTCTGTGTGCCCACTCGAGCCCGCATGCCATAGGTTCGCCGGCACTGGTTTAGGGGTTAGAGAAGGAACTTCTTCAGTAGTAGGCAGGGATAGGGGTAACTGGGGGTGGGAATGCAGGCCTGACCTGGTCTCAGTGACTGACTCCATGCCTCTCCACTTCCCTACAGTGATCATGGTTGCTCACTTCCTGCAGAGCCTCACTCGTCGGCTGGTGCTGGGAGGAGAGCTAGTTTATCACCGGCGACCAGGCGAAGAGGGGGCCATCCTGACCCTGGCTGGGAAGTACTCGGGTATGGGGTAAAGCTGTAATGACAGGAGCGGCAGTTGTGAACTTTGTTGGGGTTCCTGACCCATGTCCTACTGTAACGCTCCTTTTTCCCATCCTTTCTTACAGCTGTACACTGGGTAGCTACGTTGAATGTGGGATCAGGAGGGGCCCATGCAAGTTATTACCACAGGGCAAATGAACAGGTAAGACTTTTGATCTCAGTTCCTACCCTAACAAGTCACTTGTCAACTTTTGCCCCTCCAGACCTCTACAAGTTCTGCTGGCCAAATTTTTTTCTCACTGGCATTTAAAAAAATGAGTGGATATTAGTTACACAGACTAGTAGGTTTTATTTTCACATATTTGTACATGTATGTAACATGCTTTGATCATCTCCAGCCTAGTGTTTTTCCTACTCACACCGGGTGTACATTGCCACACTGCCTTCATTCTGCTGGTCCCCTGTGAGGACCCCTCTGGTCTTCACTGAGGTGGATCAACTCTCCTTGCCCATGTTTCTCAGGTTCAGGTTGGAGTGGAATTTGAGGCAAACACAAGGCTACAAGACACAACCTTCTCCTTTGGTTACCACCTGACTCTACCCCAGGCCAACATGGTGTTTAGAGGTGCGTGTCACTGCAGTGACATTCAGAAGTGCTGAGGGACTGGGGCTACAGAGGGAGGGAAGATCTACCTTGCTTCTGCAGTTTCCATTCTCCAAGGCCAGTTAATTAACCTAGTGGATACGCACTTCTCTTGCAGGCTTGGTGGATAGTAACTGGTGTGTAGGTGCTGTGCTGGAGAAGAAGATGCCTCCCCTGCCTGTCACCCTGGCCCTCGGCGCTTTCCTCAATCACTGGCGCAACAGATTCCACTGTGGCTTCAGCATCACTGTGGGCTGAGGTTGTCCCTCAGCTGGGCCCACAGCAGCTTGAACCTGAGTCAGGTGCCCTAGGGCCGAACGGTAGTCCTCTTTCCAGAGCCCACCTTGCTGAGTGACCCGTAGGTCTCAGGAGCAGAGTGGGGGACAGGACCATGCCCTTCTCAGAACTGGATCTGCCACAGGGTCAGCTGATGAGGCAGTGGTTTGAGGCTTCCACTTCTGCCACCAGCCCCACTCTCCCCTTCCCCAGGCTTGTGGCTCTGGACAAAGGGAGAAGGATTAAGAGCTGTATCTGGCTGAGTTTTCCTCCTCCCGTCCTTGTTTTCCTTTGGACTAAAGCACCTAGCTCCTTCCTCTTCAGAGCAGAAAATTCTGCGTAGGACTCGCTCCTCATCCTGTTTTCCCATCCCACAACCTTGCAAGGCTGAGAAAGTGGGGTTGAGAGGCTAAACTTTGGCCTCAGAAAGTGGGGGTCCCCCATTCCTGGAAGGAGTTTAACCTCTTTTCCCTGAGGGTTCCTCCTTCTCCATATTCTGTGCTTCCCAGAGAACAAGTTTGTCCCCTTGGTGACCCCCACAACCGCATGAAGAGGCAGTCACTGCCTTTGTCTTTCCTTGTAATCACTGAGCTCCCTTCCTCCTGGTCCCAACATGTTGTCCCAACAGTTTCCCCTTTCTGGTCCAGCATAGCTTGGGAGTGCTGGGGAAGGAGGTGAACCCAGCCTCAGCTGCAGATCTCCTGGATCAAGGGCATCATGGCGGGCAGTCCCTGGATGAGCTGGATTTGGTGCCAGAATTTGCTGTTAACGCTCCGGAGCTCTGCCAATAGACCCAGCAGCTTTGCATACCGAAACCTTTGAAGGAAGTATCAGGGAGACCAGGGAGAGAGGAGGGAAATGAGGCAGCTGGGAGTTCTGTCCTGAGGTCCTGATCTCCTGAACCATCCCTCAGTGATACTAAGTCTGAACATTAGAGGAAATCATGCTCTGGTATGACAAATTTATCAAAAATTTGAGAAGTCCCCAAAGAGGCCTCTGACACTGTCTTCTCTCACCATGCCCAGTTTTCCCTGAACCCAGAGCTCTGAGGGCCAAGTGTAAAGAAAGACCCAGACTTGGCCAGAACTGCATCTGTACAGAATTTGAGGGTCTGGCCTTCTAGAGCAAGTTCTAGAAGGTGGGTTTGTTATTCTGTGATATAAAGTGTCCCCTTTCTAGCAAACTGACTCATTCATTAAGCAGTGAACAAGACAGAAGTGGTGCATACCTCAGAACATATGTAGTTTATAGACTATTGAACCAGGGATTGGCTTTGGCCATGAGACTGTGAACGACCATAACTTCAAAGGAAATGAAAAATCCAAGGAATTGGCCCACTCGAGAGGAGAGAAAGGGCTAGGAAGAAGAGTGAACAAAACTGTTCATGGTCTGCTTTAGTCTGGAGATGTTGGAAAGGTGATGGATGTCATCAATCTCAGGAATGCTGTTAAACCGAGCCTGTGAGCTACTACTTTGCATCTTTACTGAATAAAAAAAAAATCAGGAAAAAGTGAGATGAAACTGCAGTAAATGCAATTTGAATGCTGGAACTATTTGGAACAGGGATGGCTTGCAGGAAGGATCAGAACCTCAAGAGACCCACATTCCCGAAGCAAAAGCATAAAAAGCATTTATCCAGAGTTCTGTGTTTCCCTAAGCCTTCCTTCCTGGATGCAGCCTCCAAGCTCCCACTCTCCCACTCACCGATTTCGAGGCCTCTGCTGCTGGCCCTTGATATAGCTGTCCAGAGTCTGTGCCATCCACTGTTGTAACTGATCAATCTCTTCCCTCTGGGTAACTCCAGGCCGGTCTGTAAAATAAGTAGCTGGGAAAGCCAAGGTGCAGGGAGGCCTGCACGGTAACCCCCAGACTGTGGATGGTTCTGACCTTCTAGGTTTGGAAGCTGAATGGCTGGGGGTGGGTGGATTCAAAGGGCTGAGCATTTGGGCACAGGTGGCAGGGCCAGAGTTTCTGGGCTATGGGAGAGGCTCACCAGGAGAGAAGAGAGCCATGGCAGCCATGAGCACGTACTCGGGCTCCTGGAGCTTTAGTCGTCTCAGTGTCCCATGGAAGTGAAAGAGGAACTCCAAATAGTCTCTTTCGAATCCCACTGTGGGAGATACTGGATTTAGGAGCCTCCAAGTCACCTTACCACATCCCATAGCACAAGGACACACACATGCCTTTGACGGCTCTGGCACCACCTCACCATGAACTCCGTCTTCTATAGTGTAGCAAAGAGGCCCACAGAAGAAGTTTTGTGTTTGGAGACAGAAAGTAGTGTTGAGTGCAATCTGAACCATTTCTACCGCTGCTCCCTTGAGAAGGGAGATTTGGTCTTCCATGGGCAGGGACCTGTGGGTTGCCGGAAACAAGGGCACTTGAGACATAAGCCTGAACTCCAGAGGGGAAGAGGAACTCCCCTCAGACAAAGTTAGATCTGGGTGTGGTGGAACAAGCCTATAATCTCAGCTACCTGGGAGGCTGAAGCAGGAAGATTTAAAATGAAAGCCAATCTGGGCAACATAGTGAGGCCCTGTCTCAAAAAAGGGCAGCAAACTGAGGATGTAGCTCGGTGGTATAGTGCTTGCTTAACATGCCTAAGGCCGCTGGGTTCATCTTCCAGTACCATTTAAAAATCAATAAATAAAGTGGGAATTTGAAACCTGGTACTTAGAAATGTTAACTTGATCAGTGCTTTTTTGGGGGTTAGGGGGAGTACAATTTATGAAATATTTGCTTCCTAGAAGCTGAGGGGAGGCCACTCACCGGAAGAGGGGCAGTTCCTTGGTGAACTTAATAATTTGCTGCATCATGAAAGTATTGACATCTGCGAAGTGTGTGAGCATAGGCAGCACAGGGGTCACGGCGAGTGAGCGCTGGTGTTGGATGAACAGGTGAGCTGGAGGCTGCAGAGATCTGATGTGAGCGAGAGGCCCTGGGCCCAAGGCTGTCCTGTAGGCCTCAGCAGCCTTGTCTTGGAAGGGTTATTTGCTGAGGAGCCTTCCCAGGCTAGGGTACTAAAGACTTGTCTTCTCTTGGTGCAGGGTACACAATCCTCTCCCTTGGGCTACCTTTTCGGGTACCCTTTTGGTCACTTCCCAGCCCAAATCCTGCAAGTGCTCACCCTGAACTGAACAAACTGGTCAAACATGGTCCCCACATGGCGAGTGTGGGCCTCCAGGAGGGTCTGGACCGTCTCTTTCTGCTCCTTACTCAGCTGCAGAGCTGTTTGCTGGGCCCGCCGCTGGGCCTGCTTGGCTCGCCGCAATGCCAGGGCTTCTTCTGACAGTATCACTGTGCCAGGTGAGAGATATGACGAGGCCACTGAGACCAGCAGACAGCACCTATCTCCCAGTCCCTGATCAGGGCCTCCAGGTGCCCTGCACAAGGAACAGTGGGGGAGGGACGAGAGTTTCTGACACTTCCTTGAGCTTGGCTGAACTTCTAGAACTTTCTTGAACTTGGCTGCTCCAGGTGGCAGGGGATTTCTGCATGCTTTCACCGACCTGAAAGGTGTCCGTGAAGCACTGCAGTAGAAAACTGCATCATGAGAGAGGAAGGGTAGAGAGCAAAGTGGAAAAGCTGTAAGATGTTTGGCTTCTGGAGGAACATTGAAGATCTTAGCTAGTGCATTACTTCATGCTTGCACAGAATTATAATTTTTGTGTATGTGGTACTGGGGATTAAACCCAGAGTTTTCATGCTCGAGCTATAATCCCTAGCCTTTTTTTTTTTTTTATTTGAGACAGGGTCAGTCTCAAAGTTGCCCGGGCTGAACTCAAACTTATACTCCTCCTGCCTCAGCCTCCTAGAATGTGGTAGTACAGGTATGCACTGCCACATTGCACTAGCATTATAACTGCAAAGGTTCTGAGGTTGGATTTCACTGGATGAAATGACTCTGTGGTAGACACTGCATATAGTATACATCTATTTCAGAAATGTAAACAAGCTTAGATTCCAGTGACAGGTCCAAGGTCTTAAAATAAGTGATGTAGACTAAATTCAAAACAAGATGTTTAGCTGCTATAGTTTCCTTTCTGTTGCTCCATATTATAAAGTAGTTGATATCGTGGAAAAAATGAGTCTGGGAGTCAGACAGACTTTACTTTGACTACTGACTCTACAACTTTGATGCTGAATGAACTTGAGCAAATTAATATCTTTGAGTCCCAGATATATCATTTGTGGGGAACAAAGATTGGTTCCCTGGCACAGAGAAAACATTGATTAATTCAACCATTATTGAGTACCTACTAGGTGACAGGCACTGTACTCCAGAGATGGGAGAGAGAGAAAGCAAGCCATATGATATCCAGGGAAGAGCATTTCAGATAGAGAGAATGCAAGCCCTGGGGAGGAAAGTGCTTGATGTGTTCGAGGAAGTCAGTGTGGCTGGAAAGGATGGGGCAAGGGGGAAAGAGTTCGGAAATAAGGCCCGAAAGGTGGGGTGCAGGAGGGCCACCGTGAGATCATATACTTTCAGAGCGGTGGGGAGCCACTGGAGATTTGGGGCATAATACTGACATAATCTAGCTAGCTTCAAAAAGCTTGTTTGGCCTGCTGTGTGGGAAATGGGCTATTTGGAGCAAGGACCAAGCACAGGGGCTGAGGATTTAGCTCAGCAGCACAGCTCCTGCCTGGCAAGCGCAAGGTTGTGAGTTCGATTCCTGGTACCAGAAAAAAAAAAAAAAGACCAAGCACAGAGACACGGGCAATGGATTCTTGGGGTGGTGGGATGCCAACTCACTGTCTTTCCTCATGCCAGCATCTAGACACTTCTGCAACCTGCAGGCAGGGCAGTGCCGCCTCTGGGCCTTGCTGACTTCACAGCTTCCAGCAAAGGGGCAGGTGCGACCCATGCTTCTTCTGACTGCTCGTCTGTAAGTGACAGAGATGATGTAGGATCTAGGATGGTTGGGAACAGGCGGGTGGGCATGTGGAGTTGAGAGGATAGGGTCTGAAGGACTTGGGAAGCTGTTAGCATGGGCTAATCTGAGTGGTGTCCAAAGGTCCTCAAGGGTGGACAGGATGTGACACATCCCAAGTATTTTTATGGGGACACAAGATCACTTAGGCAAACCTGGCTGCTTTGCAGAGAGTGGGCACTAATGGGCCATGTGCATGGGACCTGCTGGCCCTCTCTATTTGTCATGCCACCTGTTTATACAGTGCTGTGGTCACCAGAGCATAGGGTACTAGCCACAGAGTAGACTCAGATACAGGAAGTAATGCCCTGCACAAGCCAAGGCATGTGCCAGGGACGAAAGGCTGACTGATAGGAGTCTGGCTGGCGGCGGGTGGGGTTGGGGACACTGTGTCTGCTGCCGAGGAGGCTCTCACCTGAAGAAGCCCTTGCAGCCCTCACAGGTCAGGGCATGGAAATGATAGCCTGTGGCTCGGTCCCCACACACCACACAGTTCCTGGGCTCATCCTCTCCACTGGACACAGAGTCAGGCGTTGGGGTGGCCATCACAGACCCCTGAATGTGGGAGGCGTTTGCAGTCAGCTCTGGAAAACACTTGACCCTCTGCTCTCCATTCTGCAGAGCCTCTTCCCAAACCTGCCCGGGGCCTGATTCCTAGCATTATCTATTCTAGAAACAAGACAGTTCCTTTTCATCGCTGGCTCCCAACAGATTTCCTACCTGTTCCTCAGTGCACAGCACGCAGGCCACAGAATCTGCTGTGGGATGCCTTTCCCAAGCTCCCACGCTGACCCAGCTTTCCGCGGTCTCCAGAGCAGTGCGCAGTTGGAGACTGTGCCCTTCAGTGGCCAGAAAACAAGAGGCGTGTGTTGTATGTGTTGGATGTGGGCCCTGTAGTAGGGCTCAGACTCTGGACCCAGGGCGAAGGCCAGTCTCCTGGCGTGCCCAACGTCCTGGTTGGCGGCACATGAGGGATTGTGTTGGGCAAGGACCTCATGACTAATTAGAAGCTATTCCTTGTTTAAATATATTGGAGACTTTCCTTACTGCTCAGCTTCAAGTCTACATCTGTGGCCTCCTATGTACATGGGTGCTGGATAAGCTGGGAAGAGAGTAAGTGTGAGTCTTTTCACAGCTGTATGCCAGTAGTGAAAGAATAGGTGTAAGAGCTACATCAGACTCCCAGAAAGAAGTCATTTTAGAAGACTTTAAATCAGATGGGTACTTGCATTCCTGTAACTCTAGCACTTGGGAGGCTGAGGCAGGATGATTATGAATTTGAAGCCAGGTTGGGATACAAATGAGACCCTGTCTGAGAACAAACAAACAAACAAATATAAAATGAAGGGTCTAATTAAGAGCCTATGCATAGAGCTAGAAGGAGTCCCACTTCTTTATTATTGATGGCTGAGAATGAAAGCAGAGTAACCGCCAATAAGTTAGAGGGAATTGGGGTTGATTTAAGAACTCTTTCATCACTGGCTTTATAATTGTGTGACCTATGCAGTCATATAAGACTACACATTTAGAGGAAATTGCCAGGCGTGGTGGCTCAAGCCTGTAATCCCAGCACTCAGGAGGCTGAGGCAGGAGGATTGTTGTGAGTTGGAGGCCAGCCTGGGCTACAAAGTGAGTTCAAAGCCAGCCTGAACTGCATAGTGAGACCCTGTCTCAAAAAGACAGAAAAAAAAGACCGGACATTCAGAGGAGTCCTAGCTTCTTGAAATACTGTGCTTTGAAATTAATGACTGTTTTTGTTTTTGTTTTGTCTTTCTGAGACAGAGTTTCACTGTGCGGTTCAAACTGGCTTTCTTTTTTTTTTGGGTACTGGGAATTGAACTCAGGACCTCATGCTTGCCAGACAGGTGCTGTGCCACTGAGCCATACCCCTGGCTTATTTTGTTTTTTAAAACAAGGTCTACTCTGTAATTCAGGCTTCTCTTGAACTCATGGCCATCCTCCTGCTTCAGCCTCCAGAGTGCTGGGATTACAGGCATGCACTATCATGTCTGGCTTGAAATAATGATTTTTAAACAAGGGACCATGTGTCTTTCTTTCTTCTTTCTTTGTTTCTTTGTTTCTTCTTTCTTTCTCTCTGTCTTTGTTTCTTTCTTTCTTTCCCCTTCCTGCCTTCTTTCCTTCCTTCCTTCTTTATACTGAGAATTGAACCAAGGGCCTTTGCACTGAGCTAAATCCCCAGCTCTTTCTTTTTTTTTTTTTTTTTTTTTTTTCCAGCACCAGGAATTGAACTCATGATCTTGTGCTTGCCAAGCAGGCGCTGTGCCGCTGAGCTAAATCCCCAGTCCCCCTCAGCTCTTTCTTATTTTTAATTTTAATACAGGTCTAGCTTAAATAACTAAATTGACTAGACTAGGCTCAAATTTTCAATCCTCCTGCCTCAGCCACCCAGAGTGCTGCAATTACAGGCATGTTCCACCACACCTGGCTCTGAGTTCGTTTGTAAAGAATAATGACAAATTGACCAAAAGGAAAAATAAAAACAAAACAAAACAAAAATATCTAGGAAGAAGATGCAATCGGAGAAGTTCAAGAGGCTGGATACAAAAAGACAGATATGATAGAGCCACAAATGGGACTCTTGTCAGAGCATAATTCAGGCTGAGAGCATGGGAAGAGATACAAAGCTAGAAAGATAGGATGCGAGGCTGAGATGGAGGCAAGGCAGGGCAGGATCATTGGAGACCTCATGTGTCAGGCTAAGCATCAGGGAGCTTTTATTTATTTATTTATTTATTTATTTATTTATTTATTTATTTATACCAGGAATCGAACTCAGGACCTTGTGCTTGCCAGGCAGGAGCTTGTGCCACTGAGCTAGATCCCTGGCTCTTTAACAGGGAGCTTTTAATTAATTAATTAATTAATTAAAAGAATAAAAAATAAAAAACATGAAAAATGATACAGAATTTCAAAACAAGATGATAGGAAATTAACAATTGTTGTATTGCATATTGTTATGTTCAAAGTAGTTGTTCAGATTACTAGATATAAATATGCAAAGTTGGTCAAAAAAATTAAGTATTAGCTAGGCATGGTGGTGCATGCCTCTAAGGAAGGAGGATTGTTGCAAGTTCGAGACCAGCGTGGGCTACAAAGTGAGCTCAAGGACAGCGTGAACTTTATAGTGAGACCCTGTCTCAAAAACACAAAAAAATTTAAAAAAATTAAAAAATTAAGCATTAACTGTTCATTTTAATAAACCAATAGAAATTTGTAGTACAGCTAGCTATCTTGTATAGATATATATATATTTTCCTCCTTTCTTTCTTTTCTCCTTCCTCTCATCCCAGTTGTCCTTTCCTTTTGAGAAATTTCTTTCCCTTTCACAATATCTATTGTACCTTTCAGAATTTATTATTTTCTTACACTAGGGAGACAATATGATGTTTACCCATTCAGGTCTGATTTATTTCACTTATGAGTATGGTCTCTAGTTGCATCCATTTACCTATAAAAGCCTTGAGTTTAAATCTTTTTTTATAGCTGAGTAACACTCCATTTTATAAAAATTCCACATCTTTTTTATCCATCCTTCAGTTGATGGGCATTTGGGTTGTTTCCAAGATTTAGCTATGACAAATTGCACTGCTGTAAACATGGATGCACATATATTGCTCTGGTATGATGTTTTCAGTTCTTCTGGAAAAATACCCAGAAGGGGAATAGTGGGATGGAATGGGACCTCTAATCCTAGTTTTTTGAGGAATCTCCACACTGATTTCCGCAGTGGTTGTATCAGTCTACACTTGATCAGGGAGCTTTTGAAGGGAATGTTGGGAAACAACACGGTCAGTTGTGTACTCTAGATCATTTATCTATCTACTGGCTGTTTGGGAGATGGATTTGAGGAGGACCAGAGGCAAAGAGACTAGTTTAAAAACTCTTGCCATAATGCATGTGAGAGAAAATGAAGTCTCATTTAGGACAGTGGTAGGATGCAGAAGAGAGGAGGGTTTTGAGATATACGGGTGAAGTGAAATCATTGGAATTGGGTGACTACTAGAATGTTCACGCTAAGAAAGAGGAAGTGGGGTTACAGATGACTCCAGGCTTGTAGCACATGCGATCGAGCAGAAGGTGCCACCATCAATTGGGAAAGATGCTGCTGGAGGAGACCTAGGGTCCTCCATGCTTGGGCCCCAACCCCTTCCACAGCTGATAACCCACTGCTGCAACTTCTCATCAAGTTCCAAGAGAAGGTTCCTATTACAAAGATATTTATAGTCTCATTTATGGAGACCAAAAGAGCGAATCGAACTACTAGACCTTAAAAGGAAAAAGTAATCAAGCTCTAAATTGTATTGTGAAGAATATATATATATATAATTTTTTTTGGAGTCAGGGTCTTACTATGTAATTCAGGCTACATATGTTGAGCTCACCATGTAGCCCAGAATGGCCTCGAACTCACAGTGATCTTCCTGCCTCATCCTCCCAAGTGCTTGAATTACAGGCATGTGCCACCACCCCAGCAAGAATATGTACAATATCATAGGTATGAGTTTCTTTATTCATTTATTCTTATTGCATGCTCAGTGTAAGCAGAGTATTGTGAAAGAATCTACCTGTGTTATCCTAGCCCTTTTTTTTTCTTTTCATTTTTGAGACAGGGTTTCACTATGCACTTCAGGCTGGCCTTGAACTCACAGTGATACTCCTGCCTCAGTCTCCCAAGTGCTGGGATTATCACACCCAGTTTATCCCTTTAAAATAAGTAATATCACCATTTTATAGATGGAAAATGGAGGCTCAGTGACTTTATAGAACTTGTACAAGGACAAATGTACAGTACCCAACAGTTTATTAGATGACTTCACTTGAATGTCACAAGGGCATCTCAGATTCAATATGTTTAAAATGGAGTTCACTGTCAATCCTCTACAAACTAACTTCTTTTATAATTTTTTTGGAACTGGGAACCGAACTCAGGACCTTGCAATTACCAGGCAGGCACTGTGCTGCTGAACTATATCCCTGGCCCAAACTAACTTTTCCTGTGTAATCTAACTTGGTGGAACAGGGAAAGAGCATAAGCCTTACAGTCACATAGACTTAGATTCAAATTCTTTCTATCTATCTATCATCTATCTATCTATCATTATCTATCTGTATCTATCTATCATCTCTCTATCATCTATCTATCTATCTATCTATCTATCTTTTATTTATCAGTGCTGGGGATTGAATTCAGTGGTGCTCTACCACTGAGCTACATTCCATCCTTTTTTGAATTTTAATTTTGGGAACTTTTTTCTTTATTTTTGAGATAGGGTCTTGTTACATAGTTTAGGATGATCCTGATCTCACTATATAGCCAGGATAGCCTCAAACTCATGGTGATCCTCCTGCCTTAGTCTTCCAAGTGCTGGGATTATAGGTGTGCGCCACCACACCTAGCATTTTTCTTGTATTTTCATTTTATTGGCACATTTTAGATGCATGCAATGATAACGTTCATCTTAGGGAATTTGTATCTGTACATGATTTATCTTGCTTCTTTTTTTTCCCATTTCCTTCCCCTCCCATCAACCCTTCTTCCCCTCCTTATTTACAAAAGCTTTGTTTCCATTTAAAATTTTTTATTTTATTGGTACATAATGATCACATTCATCACAGGGGGTTTGTACCTGGACATGCTGTATCTTGTGTCCTTTTTTGTTTCCATTTCCCTCTCCTCCCTACCATTCTGTTGCTTCTTTATTTACAAAGCTTTGTTTGCAGTTTTTTCTTCTATTCTTTTTTTCTTGTCCCTCCTTTAATTTAGGTCTCCCCCTTCCTTGTTTCCCTTCTCATTTGAACATTTTCTTCCCATTTCTCAAAATCTATTATACATTTTGGTCCTTATTTACACTTTCAGTTTCTCATGCCAGAAAAACCATGCCATATTTTTTTTTTGTTTGTTTTGTTTTTCGTCTTTTTGAGACAGGGTCTCACTATGAAGTTCAGGCTGGCTTTGAGCTCACTTTGTAGCCTAGGCCGGTCTTGGACTTGCAACAATCCTCCTGCCTCAGCCTCTCGAGTGCTGGGATTACAGGCGTGTGCCACCACGCCTGGCAACCATGCCATATTTGAACATGTGTGTCTGATTTATTTCACTTAGGAGTCTGGTCTCTAGCTCATTTAGCTAGAAATGTCTCAAGCTTATCCTTCTTTGTGGTAGAAGGATTGTGTAACAAAACCATTGTGTAACAAAACCCACAGCTTCTTTATCCATTCATCAGTTGATGGGCATTTGCTTATTTCCAAGATACAGCTATTACAAACTGTGGCACTATAAACATGGTATATGTGTATATATTGCTGTATTATGATGCTTTTAATTTTTTTTGGAAGATACTAAGAAGGGGAATAGCTGGGTGAAATGGAATCTCTAATTTTAATTTTTTCAGGAATCTCCACACTGATTTCCACACTGGTTTCACCAGCCCACACTCCCATCATCCGTGGAGAAGGATTCCTTTTTCCCCATAGCCCCTGAACTTGGTTATTAAATCTAGAAACAGATTTAATGACTACTTGGTGGGGTGGCATGGCAGAGGGGCAGGGAAGAGGAGAAACAGTCTATGGTGAGGCAGGCAGAGAGCAGTATTTTTATATTCCCTTTATATTCCACACAGGCTACAAACCTACTAGCTGATGCCACTCACACCCAGGATAGGGCTGTCCTCTTCAGCAATTCCATCACCCAAAATCATGCTAACCCAATCAGTGGACTAATCCAGTTATCACATCCACAATCCAGTACCACACACCCTGATCCAGCCATCCCCCAAAGCCCCACCTATGAGTACATGAGGCTTTGCGGGGACATCTAGGCATATGCTGTAACAGCCCTCTTGGAGAAGTCCACCTTACAGTTCTGAGAGATAGCTGCCTTGGGGACATACTTCTTTGAGCTGGCTCTTCTATGCACAGAAATGCCCCCTCAGTATTAGAGTCCCTTGGGTGGAGCAGACCACAACTGGAATCAGCTCCAGGAGGCCTCTGGCATCCATGCTGAACAGGCTTTTCGGGGTGAACTGATGTCCTTACCTTCTCCCAACATACCTGGCCCAGGCCAGGCTCTGAAAAACACCTGTTTGTTGTGGCATGGTGAGGTAATCTCTTAGAATTCTAGTTTTTTTTTTCTTTATCTGAAAAAAAGGGTTAAAAACACTTGTTATCTAGGTTTGTTGCAAAAACAAATAAAGTGCTATCTGTGAAGTTCCTCACACACTGATTATTAGATCATGGAAGGAAACATGCATGTTCTGTCCTTCCCTCCTACTTTCCTTCCTCTCCATTGTTTCCCTCTCCCAGATTCCAAGCCAGAAAATGGGAATCACCTAGCCTCCTTCTATCCCTCACTCCCTACAAATGACCAAAAGCTGTGACTTGTCACTTCTGTGTCCTGCCCTCGGCATGCCTGCTATCCCTTAGCTGAGTTCAGGCCCTCATCATTTTTGACTCATCACTGCAGTAGCCTATTAAATTATTCTCCCTAATTTCAGCCTCCTCTTCCAACCCATCCTCCACGCTGTTGCTATTTCTAAAATGCAAATTTGATCATGTCTTTCCCCTGCTTAAAATTCTTCATTTGATTTCCATCACCTTCAGGGGAAAAAAAATTGAGTTTCTTTAGCATGTCACACAAAGTCCTTTGTGATCTGACCCTGATTTATCACTCTGGCCTCTTTTATTTCATCCTTGCTTCTCTTCTCTGACCTAGCACATCACACTTTGGCTCTAGATGTGCTTAAACATTTAGAGTTCCCTGGACAAACTGTGCTCACTCACCTCTGAACATCTGCCCTTGTTGTTTGTCTGGTTGCAATCACAGTGCCCCTCACCCCCACCCACTTCCGAGCTCTCCTGCCTGGTCCTCCTGATCCCTTTGGCCCTTCAGATCCAGGTGCACATCTTTGCTGGGAGCTTGTGGGTTAGAGTTACTCCTCTATGCACAAATTTGTCACAGTACTTATCACATGGCAGAACAACTGCTTCTTTCTTTCTGACTGTCAATCAACTGCGAGTTGCTGAAGTTAAGGGTAAAATCTTTTATTTTGGTTTCTTAGGGTCTCATATATTCCAGGTACATATAATAAAAATTTATTGATTAAATAAGTAGGCTAGCATATGAATTAAGGTCTGGTTCTCATTATATGCAATTATTTGTGGCATTTATTCATTTACTAAATGTCAAAAGAACACAATCATTCAATCAATAAGTATTTAATGGCTATCTATTTTGCGCCAGGCATTTTGCTAGTACTGTAGGTTCCAATGTGTCATCTGGATATGTTCCTATTTTCCTTTTAGCTACTGTCTGTCATAACTGATTATCCTCTGCTGTCCTGACTCTTTGGGAGGATTCCATCAGTCTTGCGGCCTGATTCCTGATTCCTTTATGACTTCTGAACTGTTGCTACACACTGTTCCTATCTGCCACATTTGCATTTGATACCTGGCTGACCTCACTTTGTTGTCCATTGAGCCAAATTTCCAGTCTGGGCCGGCCCTATACTATTTGGCCACTCCCACCTCCCCCTGTGCTGGCACAAACACTTCCCTCAAGACAAAAGGTTCCTTTTATTTGAGCCTTATTATCTGGTTTTAATTTTCTTTAAATTTACCAGTGATCGTCCATGGTTTGTTGAATTCAGTGGGCTTTCTCTTATGTTTCCCCCAGTTGAACTATCTATTGCTTTTGAAGTCTTGACACTGTCTTCTTTTTGTTTTCTGTCTTTTTGAGACAGGGTTTCACTATATAGTTCAGGCTGGCCTTGAACTCACTTTGTATCCCAGGCTGGCCTCAAACTCACAGCAATTCTCCTGCCTCAGCCTCCTGAGTGCTGGGATTACAGGCTTGCGCCACCACACCCGGACCTGACGTTTCCTTCTTTGAAACTTTTTCTTCCTAATCTTTATGAATGATGTTATTATACATTCTTTGGATCTCTTCCTTACTTCTTTTTCCTTTTTTTTTTTTTTTTCTTATTTTTTGGTGTTAGACATCAAACCCAGAGTATATCAGTCAGTGCTTCCTAGAGAAACAGATTTAATGAACATATATAAATATATAAGAATTTACAAGATTGCCTTACAGTGGCCATCTGCAGAGTCAGATGTGGAAAAGTGCAAAAGGGCTGGCTGTGTGCTGAAGATCTGAAGGATCTCACTATTGTGTCCCATGCGAGGCAGAAGGGTCTGCCCTGGAAAGCTGAAGGGTTTCGGGGTGGAGGCTGAAAGGTCTGTGCTGGAAACCAGGAGACAACATTCAAGGTGAAGGTGAAGACTGGAGCTCATCCAAGGGAACACAAGAGAGCCTTCCTTCTCCATTCCCCTTTTATTCTGTTCGGTGACAAGCCCTTTAGTCGGTGCCACTCACACCCAGGGTGAGTCTTCTGTCTTCAGTGAGTCCCTTTAACTACACCCAGAACTATGCTGGTCCAAATTAGTTGAGCATTTCCTACTCAAGTTGACACAATCAGTTAACTATCACAGGGCCTCACACATGCTGGGCAAATACTCTGCTGAGCTGGACCCTCAGCCTTTCCACCTATATTCTAATAGCTCCTTTTTCTTCTAGTGGATTCTCTTTTTACCCACGTCTATAGGTTAGGAAAAAAACTACTCTACCCCAGGTTCCATCTCAACCTTGTTACTCTTTCCTTCCTTCCTTCCTTCTTTCCTTCCTTCCTTCCTTCTTTCTTTTTTTTTTTGTCTTTTTTTTTTGTGGGGGATCTTTTTGAGACAGGGTATCACTGTGCAGTTCAGGCTGGCCTTGAGCTCACTTTGTAGCCCAGGCTGGCCTCGAACTTGCAACAATCCTCCTGCCTCAGCCTCCAGAGTACTGGGATTACAGGCATGCGCCACCACACCCGGCTTTTTCTTTCTTTCTTTTCTTTCTTTCTTTCTTTCTTTCTATCTTTCTTTCTTTCTTTCTTTCTTTCTTTCTTTCTTTCTTTCTTTCTTTCTTCCTTCCTTCCTTCCTTCCTTCCTTCCTTCCTTCCTTCCTTCCTCC